AGGAGAACCTCTTGAAGGTTACCTTGAAGATTAATAAATGGTTTATTAATCTTGGTTAACCCCTATTATCAACCTGAAAGGAAAAAGACAGGTCTTTCTAGAACTGAGAAATACACTTATTTGTCACTGGTGGCAACAGTGGGAAACACCTATTTGTTACTTAAGCAATTCTTTGAGAGGCAGACCAAGTGTTTGGAATTATCTTTAGTTCTTGCTGGGACTGCCTTCAGTTGATACCACAGGAATTGGAATTCATGACCATTAAATGCAAAAAATAATTGGATTGGTTCATCATGCAGATTTGGATCTGAATTAAATTTTAGATTGTAAACAAAAAATTGAATTGGAAGAACGGATTCTTCAACTTGCATTTGGATTATTTTGGATTTGATATACTGTATTTACTTGAGTACCACGCACACCTCTTTTCTCAAATTTCAGAAGAAAAAAAAGGTGCGTGTCATAAGTGGGTACACATTTTTCAAGAAGTTTTAGGAAGTTATGTGTGCTTTATACTTGATTATAATGGAGAAATTTTGGAAAAATGTAACAAGAATACTTTTTTGTACTGATAAAGTTGAAAAGTGATCTGATTTTTGTTCAATTCATGTCTAAAGTCACATATTTTGAATTTATTTTTGAAATTTTGTGTTTTTAGATTCACTGAAAATTGGGGTGCGCGTCTTATGCAGGTATAAGATTTTAGCCAAATTTCCTACCAAAAAACCCCTCTGCGTGCCTTACTCAAGGGCGTGTGGTACTCCAGTAAATATGGTATCTACTTATTGTCTCACCTATCCCAATCCACAATGAAAAAACACACATTTTCTCGCCCAAAAATTCAAGGCATATACATTCCAAGGTTACCCAAAATGTGAGCAAGTGTCACTTCTACATGTGACATTTTGGCAAGGGAACTCGTGGTTATGAGGTCATTTTCAGCATTACAACATACACCAATTGAGCATGCACAAATTTTACACAAGCATCATTTCAACATGAAAACACAAAACCAATTTATGAAAAGTGAAAGGAGTAGGTTTGAAAAGTTTGATTTATTTTGCCATGAAAATTTTATTGGAAACTTGTTGCAGAAAGATTTTCTGAGTAATTTTGCCAAAAAGGTAGTTGCTAATTATCTTCTTTATGCTCTTATTCCTTTTCTTGTACTTTGTGGAAACTTCTGTGTGCATTTGACTACAGACTCTACTCATAGATAGAGCTAATTGAAGTCCTTCTTGCTGAATGTCCCAAATGAACTTGAACCCTATGGTAACTTTTACCCTAATATTTAATCCTTAGTAAATAGAGATTAAGTAAAGCAAAACCTTTCATATAGGGTGTAGAAAAAACCTGCTGAAGTGACGCAGTGTTGAATGCTTGGTTGTCTACTTGCTGAAATGGATTACATGCTAAACTGCCACCTTACTAAAATGTCCCCATGCTAAAAAAAAAGTCGCCATACTCAAATGTCGCATTGCTAAAAAGTCACCATACTCAAATTTTGCATGCTTGAGTGTAACATGCTAAAATGATGCTTGCTCAAATGTCCCGTATTAAAATTCCAAGTACATTATAGTTTTTACATAAGGGAACATTTTTACAGTATATAGTTTCAGAATTTTAGCAAGGAAGATGATCCTCCCCTCGCTCATCATTGACACATAAATCTGCATCTCAAGTTGAATATTTTGTATGCTCATAAATACATACTTTTTCACGAACACTATATAAGAATATGCAAAACATTTACATCAAAGTTCACAAACTTTCCTTCAATACCGAACATCTCTTTATATTTTTATTGGGGCTTGGGAAAAAAATTCTGCAGTAAGCAACTTAAAAAAAACCAAAGTTTGTACCTTATTGAGTCATTAAATGTTCTGAGCATGTTTTACATACAGTACCTTGGTATGAGCTGATTATCTTATTATTCCGGAAAAAAATACATACAAAAGTCCCAAATATTAATGTTTCTTGAAATCTCCTTCAAATCAGACAGCAATTTAAGGGCAAATGTCTGATAGCCCTTGACATATTTCACATCTGCATGTGCAGAATTTAAAGCCTCCAAAACATTAAATCACATAAATTTAAATTCTATAGAGAATCTTTGTCCCTTTCCTAAATCTGAAAATATTTTTTACTCAAGTTATTAGTACCATGCACATCACCCTTGCAAAAGATGCAGAACTTCATTTGTGACCTTGAAACTTGATGAAAATATACCCATAGTGTAATTCTAATGTCCAATTTTTAATTTAAAACTTAATATCAAAATTTAAGATCAATTACTGAAATGCTTCATCTATATGATGAAACAAAGGGGACTTTAATTGCACTCAATTTGGATCCATATATTATAATTTATTTGCAATATGCGATCCAAATACATAATGTGCACAAGAGTAACCAACATTTTGCAGGAAAATGTTGCAGAGTATTCGCGTTTGATGCGCACCCCATGTTTTGGAGTCCATTTATGAAAGGAAACAGTGTGCCGGGTACATTTTGCAAAGTACAGGTTGTACTTTGAAATTTGACCTCTTGCAATTTGACCATCCCACATATTCAATGGTTAAATTTTTTTGGAGGTCAATTTGCAATGCTACCTATATATAGCATATAGGGACTCCCTTCTCTCTTTGTGGCTGGAATTTTATTTTTATAAATGCCAACATTACAATGTACCACACTGTATAGAGGTGCACTATTCAATGCTCTAATAATGTTCTTATTGAGTTGAAAAGATATTCACTGAATGAAATTCAATTGGCAAACAATTTTTTTTCATGGAATTCTGAAGAATATTCATTTCATAAAACACCAATATTAAAACTTATACAATGTGAGTCTAAGGGAAAATGAGACTTGACCTTGGGGTTATTTTGACTTAGGGACATTCTTGAAGCACCAATTAACTGCATCTTGGGGTCTCACTGTACATTGGATTCTTGCATAATGAAAGTTATCCATACCTAAATGAGTTTTGCCAATCAAAAGACAATATCCTTGCAAAATTTCATTGAAACCTAAAATGGTTCCAGGATAGCAACAAAATTTTCCAGTTGAAAAAAATATTGCTTGTAAGTGTAACTCAACAATAAGTTATAAGCAAAGGATGCTTCAAATTTTCTAACATAAAAATTGCACAAATACACGACATGGAAAAATATCTGGCATTTCCCAAAATAGAGAAAACCGTTTCATGAAAGTTGGTAGCACCAGGCTATCAGGATTTTTACACCTAATTCTATGTAATGTGCCTGGCCTCAACAATAACTGGAATAAATTGATGAAAGGAAGAGCAATGGAATTCTTGAATTCATGTCTAGAATACTAGAAAACAAAAGTTTGGACAGCATTTTCATTATACTAGTCATTTCCATCCTGCTCAATGATGAAGCATGAGAAAAAATGATTTTGAACCACTTCTGAGGTTGGAAGGAGAGCAAATTTATCAAGCCACCTAAAGTTGAAAATTTTCATCACAAAGTGCATTGAAAAGGGTTCTAAAATTCTGAAATTTTCATCAGCAGCCACTAACATAATAAACATTTAAAAATGTTACTGCTTCTCAGCTTGAACTGAATCCAAAAGCCAAGCAGACTTTTAACAACCCTCATGGTTGCATGATTATAGCACCAGTGTCTTCTTGAAATTATGATCCTTACTGTACACAGTACAGGTAGTGCCCCAAAAGTTGACCCTAATTCATTGCTGGACTAGGGTTGAATTGCAAGACAATGTCAAATGGCATGTTTTCCACATGGCATTTGATGCTTTGTGTAATGCTGCAGGTAAAATTGCACTGCACAGGTGAAATTGTAAGTTGAACTCTCCAGAAAATTTGACTATCAAATTGCAGGAGGTCAAATTTCACAGTACCATCTGCATAATCATTCAAGCCAACTTGTGTACAGTATTCCATGATTCTGGGATAACAGTACATTAAAACCTTGTTACAACAAAGCCATTGGGAGAAGTAAAATAGCTTTGTTATACCATACAGTAAAATCTTACAACAAAGCCATTTGAAGGAAGTGAAATACCTTTGTTTTACTGTATAAAAAAATAATTGTCACAATAAAGCCATTGGGACCAGTAAAATAGCTTTGTTATGCCAAAAAATTTGTTCTGAAGAAACTATAGATCAACATTGCGGCTATTGGGCAATGACCAAAAAAAGGAATTCGTTATAATCGAATATTCGACATCGGTATAAATAAAAACGTTGAAACTACTAGATCCTAATTTTTTACGGGAATTTTCCCAGATTATACTGTACCTCAGAAAGTTAGCACTCGTCTAATTTCAGCCTTACCAAATGCTCAGCTTATGACAAGTGGCGATGAGCAGGTCACGCATGACGCCATCATCTCTGGATGTCAGCTTGTAGGAAGCCAGTTTCTCCGCAAGAAGGGCAACCAAAGAGTCCACCTGCGAAAGCGCAAGAGCTACACGCATGAGCACCGAAGCATATCCATCTATAAAAAGTTGCTCAAAGAAAAATCATCCGAAGTCGTTCACCGATGAGAGGTATACTCCTCCAACAGGAAATGAAGCCAGCGTGCAAAGAATTCGCAATTGACTCTGCTCCAAGAAAACAGGCACTTGCAGGAATCCAAAATCGAACACAGCTGATCTCTCCGAGACCGGCGACAACAGCGACAAAAAGTCCTTCTCGACCAGATCGCAAATGTGTTGCTCTCTGGACCAGGCACAGGTGTCCTTGGTAATACACTGCGGAATTTAAAGGGGGAGAACATTATTTAAACTTCGCCACTAATAGTGAATTTAATTTCAACAGACGCGCAATTACATTAGATTGATCGGACAAACAATTCAAAAAAAAAAGGCAGAAATTACTGCCCGAAAAATCGCGCATTTCTTAAGATGCGGAGGTTTTCATGCGACTGCAATAATTAATTTGTATTCGGAATTGAAATAAGACGTCCGTTTATTTCTTATAATTATCTGAAAAACTTCGTCTGGATCATTCCTTGCTTACATCATTCATATCTTATTACACGGCACACGAATAAAGATGAGGGTTCAATCATACCCATCGTATCGCTTGCAGCAACAAAGCCCGATTCATGGGACTTTCGTTGACGAGTTTTTCCTTCAGCAACTCGTAATTAAACGTAAGCTTGTGCGAAGAGGCTCTTCTTTCCGCCAGATCCGTGTCCTCAGCAGGGAAAGGCCGAATACCGTTCATCACAGCATCGAAAATTATCTTGACAGGGTTGGATTCGGTCTGTAAATTAAGCGGAGTTATGAAACCTAGTACTGTAATTTTAACACACGATCTCGAACAGAAACATTTAAAAACGTCATTTTCATGCTTGAAGCAGAAAAAATATTAGAAAGAGCGACTCAATCAGTGGAGCATATACATAAAAAGAACAGTACGGTATATACGCACATGCAAAAATGCTGTACAGTAAAAACCCTCCAAGTCCAACTTCAGGGGACCAACAAAAGAATTGTTTTAGCAGGGAAGTTTCGAGTAAAAAGAAAACAAGCATGTGAGTTGGGAGAAATAAGTAAGTAAAATTCTAATTGGAGAAATTCTAGGTCTTAAAATGCTTCTATATATTAAGTCAACAATAAGACGCTGAACTTGGAGGCAAAGGATTTATTCACCCCAATAATAGTCATTCACTTCCTTTCAGAACACATTATTACATTTTTATCGCTTTCCTCTTTCTTGCATCAATAAAATCATAGCACGAAGGCTTCCAAAATTTTTCGAGTCATGGAGGTTTGAGAGGAATAGCCTTAGAGTTTCGGAGGTTTTTATAATGCACTGTTTCTAACTGGATTCAGACAGGGACTTGAACTAAGGT